CATGCAAATATGAATAGCTTTGCAGCCTTCGTCACCAAAAATTCTTTCAGGATTGTGTGAATGCTTCCAGAAATTGAAAGAGTATAAAATCTTAACATGCTTGATAATGGACCTGGGAAGAATATGGAAGGCAGATCGGTCTGCCTATAGCAGGTGAGGTAGGAACAATGCGACCTGGGTGGATAAAGAACAAGACAGTTGACTAAAGGGTAAGATTAATAATGCCTGCTACAACCATAAACTCACTAGGTAAGGCGTTAGCGCCACTGAACACGTGGATACATACTTCTGACTAGACATGCATAGGCTTCCTCTTTGACGGCCTTTGCTGAACGCTTGGGAAAATCTAGCCTTATACTACCCTATCTGAAAAAACAAAACCTCAAAGACATTCTTAGGAAGAATAAGCTTTGTATTCATTTCAAACATATGGACTTATAAAACATAAACGTGCCTCTCTTAACTTGGTGCCCTCCGGATGTGTTGGACTACAATTCCCAGGATGCCTTATTCATATGTTGGACTATATGGGAGTTGTAGCTCAATGGGCACCAGTAATAGTTTGGTGAGTGAGGATATATGGCATCATATATTGATATAGAAAGCCTGCTTTAAATTGAAAATAAGCAATAGAAGTCCTACCACTGTTTAGTTACAGCCCTTCCTTGATAATAGTTCATTTCTACAGGCCAACTTTATTTTAGAAAACATTTAGTCCTTGTCACACTGATCAACATTAAATATGATGGCTTGTCAAAATGGCTGACATGCAAATTGCATGCCTGTCAGCATTTCACAATGAGCCATGACGTTAACTGCAAACAAAGAGGGAAAGGCATCCCCACAATTATTCTTTCTTTGGTCTTCTTGGCATTCCACAGAACACACACCCCTCTTCCCACTGTCAGTCATTTGAATGAGGGAATTAAGGTTGCTTGAAGAGCTGGTCCAAACCGTCCTTCCTGTTTCATAACATTGTCTTCATGGGAGGTGGCAAGCAATGCATAGCTTTTGATAAGGAATCTCTCAGAGCAAGTTTGAAGAAGATAGATTGTTGCCCCCACACAATTATTTCTCAATCATGCCTGTTGCTGCTACATCTTCTTTATTGGTAGAATAGTGTCTAAGAGGTCTGCTGGACATTTTTTTTGCACTTAATCTTTTGACTCTCATTGTATGCTGCTGTAGAAATTCCTTCCTAGCTTTCCACCCTACAGAACATCTTCAAGGACTCTGGGGCTCAAGTCCTACCACTTCTGCTCTCCCAACCTCTGTTGTGTCAAGTTCTTGCAGTGTTAAATATTCAAGCACACTGAATTATTCTTTAGACACAACAGAGAACTAGCTAAGTATCGTTATTGGTGTGTACCATTCTTTATACATAGTCCACATTCTTGCAGCTGAAGATGCAGACGTTTTCCACAAACTGTATATTCTGAGAACATTGAGCATGCAATATTGTTTACCTGAGAAAATCTGCTTCTTCACCATATAGTGTTTACATCACATTTTTGCCACTGTGTGTATGGAGTGCTGGACTAAGCCAGCCTTTGGTCTGATCCAACATGGTTTTTCTTATGTTATTGTGTTCTTATTTGTGGTAATGTCGGTACTGTTGTTCCAATGGGAGTTGTCAGAGAGGCTGGAGCAGGAGCCAGACCTTGTCTGTGGAACTGTTTCTGGATATATGCACTTCCTGGGCTCTTTCCATTCATTACATGAGCATCTGAACTGTCACTGTATTTGAGAGATGCGAAGTGTTAACATAAGTTTTGTTGTGATGGCTCTTTCATACACACAGTTAACTTATGTCGAGGTCATACCTTGAATGTGTTTATCTTTTTAAGTTTATGAGTGAATATGTTTACCTTACCCAGTCAATAGAAACAACAGAAGCCTTTTGCTGCTTCATGACCTTGAGTTGAGAGAATTAGGTATATACTACTTGAGATCAGGTAGGTAGAAAGCCAAGCCTCCAGTCTCTAAAATATCCTATCCTATCTGGTTGGTTGTATCTAACCAAACAGACTAGACCACATCTAGTCTGTATCATTGGTTGTATCTAACCAAACAGACTAGACCACATGGGCACCAAACAACTTCCTTTTTGAATTTTGTCAGAAATCAACCTCCCATTTCCAAATCCAAAGACCAAGTGCAATCTTATGGCCTCCCAACATTGCCTGGGGCTCAGGAGGATTATTCTGAGTTTCAGTTCCAAGTTCCTGTGACTTTGGAGCTGGGATTCAGAATGCAGGGCCCTCATCCTGCCCCCATTCCCTGACAGAGTGGAAGGAACCATGCCAGCTCCCTTTCTGAGGTCAGACATGGGCCTTGGGGAGAGCCAAAGGGGCCTGCTGAGGGGTGGGGAGGGGCAGAAGATGGGGCCATCTAGTTGCAATACAGGGCACAAGATGAGGCCACAGTGGAGATTGCTTTTGCGCCTTGCACTGAATGCATGTAAGCCTTGTTTAGAGGCTTAGGTACATTGAGGGTAAAGGCCATAGGATAGCACTCCAAATTGATTATGGTTAAGAAACAGTAAGAAGGGTAAACAAGGTAGAAAATCAAAGTAGAAACTCCTAAGGAAAATCAAGTATAAGGTTTGCTAACTTGGATTAAATGCTTTACAAAGGATCACTCATTTGTAGGAATTGCACCTGTAGGTGTCTGAAGTTAGGAAAGCTAGTGATGGTTCCCTGTACACCAAGCAAAAGATACTATTCCATGTGTATTCATCTTGGCTGAAGGAGGGCAGAAGTTGTTAACCTACTTCTCCAATCAAACAAAGCAGGTAAGCAAGGAAATACTCGTTAGCACCTTTTAATCTAAGAGATAATGCTGGAAAAATGCTGCTGAAAGGGGAATAGTGTTATCTTGCGCTAACAAACTGGTACATCATATAGGCTTCCCATTTGAAAGGTGTGGAACTGGCAAAATACAGCCATCCTATTGAGAATCAGCTGTCCTGGTCAAAAATGCCCAGAGTTATAGGGGAAAGGAGGCTGAAAGGCAGCCCAGCTTCACACATGGCACATGGAGAGTAAAATTAAAGATCATAGTCACTGCCCCACCCTCCCAACTGCTAGTACTCCTAGGCTAAAAGCTTCCATGTCACCTGCGAACAGGTTTTTTTTTGGGGGGAGGGGAGCAAATAACCCTTTCTCTCAGCACCTTTTAATCTTGGTTCTAATTGAAAGCCCCATGGCTGGTATTTTTTATTTATTTATGTATTTAAAACATTTTTATGCCGCCCCCATCGCAACGAAGTCTCGGGGCGGCTCACAACAGAAACAAAATACATAAATAAATAACAATATAACAATAAAAAAATATTTAAAAACCTCCGGTGCATCTCAGCTAAAAATTTAAAATCCTATAAATACAAATAATTTAACAATTAAAATAAGTTTTAAATAAAAAGGTCTTAGCCTGGCGCCAAAAAACAAATAATGATGGCGCCAGGCGGACCTCTCTGGGGAGCACATTCCATAGATGGGGTGCCACCACAGAGAAAGCCCTTCTCCGGGTACTCACTCTCCTAATATTCACAGAGGGTTCCTGGAGAAGGGCATCTGTTGCTGATCTCAATGATCTCATTTCAGTTTTTAAAAATAACTGCGTCCAACATATTCACACAATGTAACACATAGATTGCAAGGCAGAGAAAGATTCATGCTGAATGTCTGCTTAACTGAACAGGGAGACTGAAGGTGGATGTGCTTTTCCAAAGGCTCATGTTGACAGCCTTTAGCTTATTTGGTCCTGCTAATCTTGGTTTTGCTTTGGTACCATATCGTGTTTAATGTTGGTTTTAACTTCATTGCAAACTACAGCAAGGACCATAACATAGACAGATTAGAAATAAATATGCCTCACTCCTGGCTTCACTGAAGTTGGTCTTTCAGCCAGTATATATAACAGGGTACTTTTCTATTATTTGGGCAGCCCATGTTTCATTTGAAGGGACTGAAATAGAATTAATCAAAAAATAAATGTCTTTACATACTTTCAAAAGGCATGGAGAAGTGATTATGATGAAAATCCAAGACAGATGTATCCTGTTGGGTCTTCTTTTGTTTCCACATGAGAAAAATACAGGACATATCAGATGAAGTGACTCATTACAATGCACTAATAAATAGTGAGGGATCTCTAGTACTTCAGCACTGATTGACTGAAGTGCATATGGATCTAATCAATACTGGGATAGGCAACTTCTCTCCTTTTTTCAGTGTGTAGGTATTCTTCAAGGTAACAGTTTGTTTAGGTACCATATTGCATATATTATTTTACTGATAGACAGAAAGTTTTCCTAATTAGAACATCAGCCTTTGTTACCCAACATAGTGGTTCTTATGATACATTTTGTAGTGCTGCCTTTATAGCGCCTGACTTCATTCCTATATTTTTGTCTGGTCATAGCAAACTGTACATTGCTCTGTAACCAACTTAAATGTTTTGCTTGCACATTACATTTATATGTATTATGCCAAAGCAGACAGCATGTTTAGCATGTTGAAAATGCATTTCATTAAACATTTTTTGCTGTATTAAATGTGTCTTTTGTTTTGTTTTGTTTTGTTTTGCTATTGGAACCAGGACAGCCTCTGGTTTCACAAATGAAATGGTTAAGAATGGGCTTTCTTAATTGGGCCTCTGCACACAACAATGGAATTAGTATAAAAGGTTTCTATTTTCTAGCTTCTTCCAAAATGCAGACCAACTCAAATCTCAGATTCCCCCTCCCCTCTCAAATCTCCATGACCTAAAGTGTTTCCCAGTGACTTGAAGAACACATATTGGTTTGTTTTTCATATCCTTAATAACATCATTTGTGAAACTGAAGTTGGCTTTTCAAACATGACAGGTATGTAATAAATAATACCTTTGTGATTTTTGTGCATTAATTTTTTCTTCTGTTTTAAGGAAAATTTCAATTTGAGAAAAGGCAGATCTGATAAACTCATTTTCACCCTCTCTTATTTTGCTTCTCCTAGACCAAGATGAGAGAGCTGCAGAACTGAGCAGAGAGCAAAATGAAAAGACCATACGGAGTACCCAGACAGCTCTGCGCAACTTTCGAGAGTTTCTTATCTCAAAGTATCCCTCAGAAACCAGAGAGATCTACATTATTCCTTGCAAAGAGCTGGATGCTTATCTAGCATCATTCTTTGTGGATGCCCGCCAGAAGGATGGTTCAGAATATGAGCCAAATAGTTTGGCCAACTACCAGTGTGGGCTGGAGCGCTATCTCAAGGAGCACCGATATGGATACAGTATTACTAGGGATAAAGAATTCAAGAGGTCTCAAGAAGCGCTGAAGCAGAAGCAGATTGAGCTGAGATGCAAAGGGAAAGGCAACAAACCACATAAGTCAATGAAGCTTACCTTTGCAGATGAACTGATCCTTCGCAAAAGAGGCCTGCTGAGCCGATACAATCCCGAGGGTCTGCTGAATCTTGTCTGGCTTAATAACACCAAGGCATTTGGCCATTGCACAGGCTTTCATGGGTCCACCCTCAAATGGGGAGATATTAGGCTTCGGGTGACAGAGACTGGACTGGAATATTTGGAATGGATGGGTCAAGATGGTGGTGATGGGAATGCCAAAACCAAGAGAGCAGGCACAGATTCCAGAGTGTATGCAACACAACATGCCCCACAGACCTGTCCCGTGCAAGACTACAAGGAGTATGCGCAAAGGCGTCCCCCGGCAATGCGGTATGAGGATGCCCCTTTCTACTTGTCCATTAAGCCAGTTGTCAATCTAGCTGCACTTCACTGGTACAATTGTCAGGCCTTAGGTAAAAACAAGCTGGCCAAGATGGTCAAGACCATGTGTGAGAAGGGGAACATCCCTGGTAGGAAGACCAATTTCAGTGTGTACCAGAGTTGCAGCACCCTCTCTGAAGCTCAAAGTAACCAGCTGGTGCTAATCTGTAACAATTTAAGCCAACAAGCTGCTCAGTCAATGGCGAACCATTCTAGTCCTGGCAACTTCATTGTGTCTGCCTCTTATGACTCATCCTCAGACACTGCTTGAAAGGCCTCTACTTATGAACACTTTGCACTTGAAGCTTTGGATCTGTGCCCAGTAAGATGCATCAACTGTAATCCTAGAGTATCCTTCCAACTCACCTTTCCCAAGTGTCAATTCACTTTATTAAAACAAATAATATATATATATATATTCTTTTTACAAATGTGTGAATAGAAATAGTTTAGTATAACTTATATAGTATTTATAGCACTAACATGAATAAAAAGTGAAGCATACTTACAGGGTGCTAATATGGCAGTTTTTAAAAGGGGGAAATAGTTTTGAGGCATTTAAGAGATGGAACATAATGTTTAGGCAGAGTCAACACTATCATCCTACAGTGTGGAATCAGCTTAACAGTCATGGGGTTATGTCCAGTGTTAGTCTAACTCAAGTCCTATTCAATCTATCTACTATCAGTAGGACTAACAATCCATGGCTTCCTTCAAAGTATGATGGGAACTATAATTTAATACAAGGGTGGAGAATTATTTGCTGCTAGTCCCTTCATAGAACTACATTTCCCATGGCTCTTTGGTTCAGAGACACAATAGTTTAATAGATTTGAAGCTGGTTCAAATCTCTGTGTGGACAAATCTTGAGAAGATGAGGTGGGAAGGCAACAAGGTTAATGAACAGGGACTGACTACTGGGAACATTTTCTGTGTAACCTTCATACCAATGAATAGAACAGGAGAACACTTTTGCACATCTCCTGTTCATGGTTATTGAGCTTGTGCAGAAGATGTTGACATTGGATTGGGCTCTAAAGTGCTTCACTTGCACTTAAACATTATTTTTAAAAAGTTTACATTCCCCATGATGGCTCATGCCTTTTGAAAGTTTGTTATTAATATGTGAATTCCATATGTGGGGGACAGGGGAAGAGGGATTCTTGTCTATTTTTTTCTTGTTTTGCAATTATGCTGTTCAGACAGATTTTGGGTGTAGATTGGGGAAGGAGAGGGGAGGGAAGAGAGGGGAAAAACAGGTCACTGTTTTCTGCAGCATTTTCTTTGCTTAGTTTTATCTTCTGTCTCAATCATGCCAAGTTGGGGGCAGAGGGAAGAAGGAAGGAAGGAAGGAAATTGATCAAAGTAAAAAAACCCATGGAATCTTTTAAAAGAAGTATGATACTTATTCAAATACAAAGCAGTTTGTGGCAAACAAGGGAAATATTATTCAGAAAATAGTAATATTTTAAAACTGAGCATCAGCTTTTAAGCACTTTCTGTCTAGTCATTTATTTATTTATTTATTTGGGAATGCTGTCAAATGTTCAGCTAAACCTTAGCTGTGGCACTGTGCAACAACAACCAAAACAGGCTTTGGTTGACTTAAGACTGCTTCAGTTTGCAGTGGATTGAGACCAGCATTTATATTTCCTTGATAAATCAGCAATAGCAACAAAAAATAGTGCCCTCCCAGTCTTTTAAAGAACATGAAAAGTTGAGAGTTTGGTTGTAAAACTCAGCCTCAGTACTCTTGAGACTTTCCAGGGAATTAAAAGTAAAGCAGAAACAGATTCCCATAAATTTCTGTATGCAGTTATCATATTCCAAAATACCATAGTGGATGGCAGGGTAACCCTTCATGCAGGGCATATAAGTCATTGTGGGGGCACAACTGAACTTGCTGCTTTAAAAAGAAAACCTAACACTCTCAAGTCCTTGAGAAGGCAAAGCTTTCAAAGCCCTAAATCAGGGGTATGGAATGCCAGGCCTGGAAGCCAAAACCTAGCCATCCCTGGGTTCCTCAGGTGGCCAGCTTACAAGAAAATGACCCTGAACTGTTTTTATTGCATTGTTCTGGCCAAACAGCCGTTAAATTGGCAGGCAAAGTGTTTCACAGCGTGGAAATAAATATTGCTACCTGCTACTAACTGTGTTCATTCAACAGAATGATCCACACTCAAGGATTGAGTATGGGTTGAGTGTGGATTGTCACTGAACTGTGGTTTGTTGAAGTGTGGGTTACCCATTTGTAACTCAGATGTGATTGTAAACCATGTTACGGAACCACAGTTCACAACCCAAAAGAAACCATGGTTTCTCTTCTTGGGTTATTCATGGTTAACAAGCCATATCTTAGTACGCTTGGGCTCAGACAGCACAATAACCTGCATTCAATACCTACTCATCCCTTGATTATGGGTTATCATGTTGTCTGAACCCAGTCAGTGTCTGCACATCAAGCTGCTAAGAAAGGCACTACTACAGCAATCTGTAAAGTCGGCTATCCTGTTCACACTTATACATGGTGAACTTGCTCCACTGTGAGGCATCCCATCATTGGTGGCATTTGCTCTTTGATGCGCGTTGTTCAATGGATGGTACAGGCATCAAGTCATGATAATGCAAATGCAAATTAACCTTATGTGCCACAAAGCAAGGCAAACCCCCAAGGAATATGGCTTTTGTTCTACACACTGTATTTCATTTTTTGATTGGCTTGTCCAACATGACTTTCGGGACAAGCCATGGATTGATCTGTATCCATTATAAATCAATTTCCTATCAAATGATGCCATTTCTCTCTCTTTTCAGAAGATATTCTCATGCTAAACTGCATGTGATATTGTTTTGTTTTCCAATCCAAGGAGAACCAGCTCGCTATTTGTGTGCCAAATCCTAACCTCAAAACTATTCTTCTGATAATATATTCTAATAAACCTACCAAATTTTAACCATGAGCCTGATATACTCTTTGCCCATACTTCCACTTATAAGGATGAAAAGTCTTTTCATTTTTTTCAGAGATATTCTACAGGTTAATGACACTTTTCTCTTTGGGAATTTAGATGTAATGTCCCAGCTATGCCTGTGTACATTGTGTCATAGCTGCGACACTTTTAATGCTAGGTGGCATCAGCCATTCCTACCACCCACTAGCGACCATTGAAAATTGGCCATCCCTGCTCTTTTTACCAATTCCAACTGTAGGTGACTATTTAACAGCATTTGAAAAACACTGACTTTTTGAGGGGGCAGGAGAGTATTTTGCTTATAAAAAAGAATATCTGTCTTGCCAAAAAATAAAATGAAAAACACACAGTTTCTATGCATTGTGTAATTCAGTGATATTCTTGTTGAATATGCATGTTTTAGAGATGCATTTGTGATTTTGGTAGTATTGTTGACCATTGCTGCTATATCAACATTGTAGTTCATTGGGGGGAAATGGTACTGTTTACTGTGAGGCTGTGCAAGTTAACAGTTTTACATGTGACCTTTCTGCTTGTGTCTTTTGCTTTTTAATGTATTATCTGGATCCCATACTAGTGCCTTCTGTAGAAGGAAAATAATATGTTGTGGTTGAGAATTCATGCCAAATGTTAAAGATCTGTTGTTCTGTCCATCCTCAGAGAAAACTGGAACACTTCCAAAATAGATCTAAAAAGAGAATATTTCAAGATGCTGGAAAAGTAATTTATTATTTTAGAAGCCCAATGCATTTCAGCCCATCTGCCTTCAAATATCTTACCAGCCTATCTTCAAACAGTTCTGACAGAGTTTTTTGAAGGATTTTTTTAGAATTCCCCTGAGGAAGATTGTAAACAATATTGGCAAGAAACATGTTCAACCTCTTAATAATAAAGTGTTTTTTTAGCATCTTGATACTTATTTTCTCTTTTTAGTGCTACAAATTCAGTCGGAAATCAGGGCAGTATTATCTTTTGGGCAGCACTTGTACTTTCATTATATGAGGGGCATTCAATGTATTCTCAGTATCAGCATGAAGAAAAAGGAATAATAAATTGAAATAATTTTTATTTTTCAATGAAATTCCCCATAACTTCAATACACATTACATCTAGAAATTAACTTTTCAATTCCCTGTAAAAAATACCCTTCCTCCTTGTCTAAAAAATGTGCGTTAATTGCCACCTTGAGCTCTTCATAGTTGGAAAATCGCTTTCAACAAAGATCTTTTTTTAAATTTGGGAATAGGTAGTAGTCACTGGGGGCCAGGGCCAGGTTATAGGGTGGGTGGTTTATTTCTTCGAAACCATAGTCTCACACAGCAGCCTTCGAAACATGCGCCGTGTGAACGGGCGTGTTGTCATGAAGAAGCAACACACCTGCAGTCAGTTTTCCCCGCCTTTTTTCTTTAATTGCTTCTCTTAAATTACGCAGAGTGGTTGCGTAAGATGCTGCGTTTATGGTTTCACCTTTTTTTGTGTACTCGATCAATAAAATTCCCTTTGAGTCCCAAAACACCGTGGCCATGACTTTTCCAGCCGATGGAGTGACTTTGAATTTCTTCGGAGGGTCAGCACCTTTTTTATGCCACTGCATGGACTCCTGCTTACTTTCAGGGTCATAGTGATGAACCCAAGTTTCATCTCCAGTAACAATCTGATCGAAAATACTCGATGGATCTTCACCACAGAGCTCTAAAAACTCCCTACAGCACTCAACTCGCACTTGTTTCTGAGGTGCCATAAGCATTCGTGGCACCCATCTTGCACAGACCTTTGAAAGGTTAAGATGGTCATGAAAAATAGTAAATATGGTACCAACGGATAGGTTTGTCATCTCTGCTAACATTTTGATTTTTATTCGGACATCTTCCAATACAAGTTCCTCAATTTTTTTCACATTTTCTTTTGTAGTGGCAGTAACCGGCCCGCCCGAGCGAGGGTCGTCTTCAATGCTTTCTCTGCCCCTTTTAAATTCACTTGTCCACTTTTGAACAGTAGATAATGAAGGTGCAGAGTCCTGGCAAACGGCCACCATCTCTTTGTGAATGATTTTTTGACTTTTTCCTTGTTTTGTAAGGAACTTAATCACAGCGCGGTGCTCGATTTTCTTCAACATTGTTGCGTCAGTCATCATGGTCACCTTTCACTGAGGATTACTAGGGAACTAATGATCACACTTCTTTGAAATTTTGCATGTATACCCTCAGATAGTGTCATTAGCTAATGAAATAATTAAATTACCCACATCAATAGCAAATCAACCCGATATTGAGAATACCTTGAACGCCCCTCGTAGACCACTTGAATAGCACTTTTGCAGCACAGTCCTCTCTTTGTCTGCTCAGAAGTAAATCCCATTGAATTCAAGAAGAATTACTTCCAGGTA